TTGCATCCCCAGCCAACACCCTCGCCCCCTCCCGCACCCCAACCCCTTGCCCCAGCCCAGTGAAAATGAGTAAGTGAGTGAGGGTGAGGGAGAGTGAGCAACAGAGGGATGGGAGGATGGAGTGAATGGGGGTGGAACCTTGGAGAAGGGGCGGGGCCTCAGGGCAGGGGGTGGGGGCAATGGTGTTGGGTTTTATGCAATTAGAAAGCTAGTTAGATGCGGTCCAAATGCTTTATAAGGTAGAGGAGGAAAAAGAACAGCTGGAGTTTGTGTGATTCACCTCACATGTCATAATCCCACCAGGGAGAAGGAAGACAGGAAGGAGTGAGAGGAGAAATTAGGTGGTGGAGTGTGGGGGGGGGTGGACAAAGAGGGGCAAGGTTGAAAGTAGATGAGAATGCATTAGAGCATTATTGTGTCTCGTACTGTGAATAAGTGAGGGATGTTCCACCTTTTCACACTTATTTACTGCAGCATTTTCATTTGTGTTATGATGACACAATCTTCTGAGCTCTATTTCCGTAGCGTGTGTCTTCTACTTTGGTTGTCTTTTTATTTTTGTTAGTTTGTTTATTTCAGAGAGAGTTGAGGGCACAAAGTATCTTGCAGGAAGTGCTCTGCATCTGGTAGGATTGGGCTCTAGGATTGGATCAATGTTCCTAGACTTGTTTTAATACTTTCCAAAGCAAATAACTTGAGGGGCTATTGTTATCTCCACTCTACTTCAGCTATCAGTACTTTTCAGTATGTCAGGTGACAAATGGATTACTGCCCTACAATACCTCACTTAGCAAAATGTTGGAATACTTACCTTGCTGTGTCAGCCTCTTGAGACCCATGTTTTTAAAGGGACATCAAGCAAAGGAGCCAGTTTTCAAACATGAGTACCCGATTTTGCACTTGGACCCTTAGATTGCCACTCAAGCACTCAAATACCCATTTTAGGTTTCTAATTTATCCATCCCAGTATGAAAATTGGGTTGGTGGTCTACCTCCAACATGCTTCACTGTAGACCTGAACGAATACATTGCAAAGAATAATCTATCCAATGAATTTGCTCTTTTCCTGCATGTGGAATATTCATGAGCAGATTGCTGTTTCCTCACATTTGTTGTTTAAAGTTTATTCCATGACATTTTTCATTTTATTTGACTATAGATCGATCTAGAGCAACTTACTGTGAGTATTCAGTGTTCTGACTGGAGGAACCCATAAACAATTCTGATGCAAATACTCACTCAGACTTGCAAATTTAAATTGATGTATAATTTGACTCTGAAAATCACTTTCTGCAAGTATCTATGCCAAAGAAATTCAGTCTTTCAGATGTTTGTGGTCAGTGAATGAAAACGGTGAGTGAGTATGGCCAAACAGAATTCATTAAAAAGTGAAGAGTGAATATTCATAGGTGTACTGTTATTATGCATTACTCACCCAGTCTACTTTACCTCAGTACAAGGTAAACAATACAATGTAGGCCACTCTATCTAAAATAAAATAGCCAACAGCGCTTAGCAGCCATAAATTCAGGACACTGTTTATTTTGTGGTAGTGCCAGTTAGAAGTCTTCCCCCCCTTCCCCCAAAGGAGCAAATAACATAGTAGCCAAGAAGTGAGACTGAATTGGAACACATGCCAGTGATACTGCTCTCAAAAGAAAACATGCAAATACTATAAACAATATTCAGCCAAACACTTTCAAGCTTCCTCATTCATAAAGATTAGTAAATCCCTAAACCCCTGGGATATTGAACTCTGCTGGAATGCAGTCTGCACAATAATGCCCATTCAGAAACATTTGCCAGAGAATCCTAGAATTTAGAAATGTAAAAGGCTTGTTGCATCTTCCTGCTACCTACACATTACGTTATGTTCTCCCATGTTTATCTAGTGCAGGCATTTTCCCTTTTGACTTTTTGCAGAGCATTTAATTCCCTCTATTGAATATTCCACTCAAAAAATATGTGAGGAGACTGAAATAGACACAGCAACTTTCTTCTGTGTTTTTAAAATATAATTTTTTCTGGTGTCAAATTAAACAATTCAGTTAGCTTATTGATTAATGCCTCAGAGCTTCACAGTTTAGCAGCTGTGCCACCCAACAGTAGTTTGGCGTTTCTTGCTTTTGTTTATATTAGTATTATCTCTTTGAATGTTGTTGGTCTCACCAGGAGAAGCTGTGCTACTGGATAGATTATACAAGCAGACACTCAAATGTCTTGGCCAGTGTGCTGTAAAGTGCTAAGCTTTCATGGTGTGAAGATGTCGTTTTGCACTGTTCTAAAAAGCCTAACACGTTAGCATCAGATTAACCATCATATTGCAGTAGCACCTAGGAGCC